TTATTTTGTTTTTCTCTTTACAGGTATTTCAACACACGATAATCAAGCGTTAAATATTCAAGTTCATGTGTGTGCATTCACCTAGGTATTAGTTTAGTTTGCCTACATATATCGTATGTTTATATGTAAGCTCAATATATGTACACTTAACACAATTTTTGACGTTTTCTATCAAATAAATGATTTTTCATCAAACTTTGTTACAATAGTTTTTATTTCACGTTTACAACTCATTCATACTTTATTATATATATAATGTATGCATGATATATATATATATATTTATATATATATATAGTATATATATATGGAGAAAAATGGGTATGACTTGGTACAAGGATCCTTGGCTAGTGATCGCTGGACACATCTTGTCCGATTACATCACACCTTGACAGATGGAGCCTCACCAACTTCAAGGTTGGATGTATGCGACAAGCATGTGTCCACACACTCACCAAGGATCCTTTTGGCCCAACGTATACCATGATTCCTCGTATATATATATATATATAATATATATATCATATATATATATATATATATATATATATATATATATATATATAATTATATATATATATATATATATTACGTATTTACAAGTACATATCGTCAATTTCATGTTCACGAAAAATACAGGTTTCTGAAACGTTTCAAAAACAGGGAGTTTTCACAAACGAAAATTGACCTTTCCAAAATTTCATTTTCAAACATGCTTTATGGGTTCATCATTTAGAAACTTCTCCAAAGTTTGTACTATTTTTAAGGAATTGATTTGATATTTTTAATGTATTTTTAAAATTAGCCTAAAAAACCTGTCATATGCCATGTATCAGTTGTGCGGTCGACCGCCGACGTCCGACGCCAGCAGCCAATTTTTCTTAGTATAAGCTTTATGTGCTCGCGGTTGACCGTGACGGTCGACCGTGAATCCATCAGAGACTTTTGCGGTCGACCGTCGCGGTCGACCGCCAGCCTTTAATTCCTATGCTCAGCCTTTTTGTGCCTCGCGGTCGACCGCGAGATTTTCATGGTCGACCGCCGATCTCATAATTGCTTTCAAACGGCTATTTTTTTATTTGATTTTCTGGGGCTGTTTTGATCTTTTCAAGTTTGTGTTGGCTGATATTTTGAGTGGGTATAAATACCTCATTGCTGCTCTCTTTCAAAGAATCAAGTTTTGTTTTATAGTAAAGTTTTAACAAAAATCTTAAGTGTGTTTAAAGAGTTGTTTAAGCTGTTTCTGATCATCTGTTTTAAAAGAAGTCTGCTACTTCAAGAAGAGGCTTTTCATTTCAACTGAGGATCCTATCCTCATCATCCTCTACTGTTCTTCTTGTTTATTGAGAAGATTTCCTAACTCATTTTTTCATATAGTTTATAATTTCATTTTCATATCTTAGCTATATTTATTGAGTTACATATTTTTTTCATTCACTATTATCACGCACATAATATTGAGCTTAATATCTTCATACTATATAATGTGGGTTATGGGGTATGATTTAGTGAGTGTGAGCTTCATTTGCGTTCTCATTTGTTGTTGAGAATAAACCATTGTATTTAATCTTTATTTGTGAGTATCACTTGTAATACACTTGTAAACCGAGAGAAGTGTGAGGTGAGAGACGGGGTCGACTCCAATAGGAGTGGCGTCGGTTGATGAACCTAGGGAGAGGTTGCATCCGAGCACCTGAGGAGGAGGACACGGGCTAGGTTCCTACACTTAGTGTGTGAAGTGTGATTGCATAGTATGAGAGTTTTCGGTAAGCTTGTAAACCAAGTGTGCAGAAGTTCCAGCTTCCAAACCGGATTGTGATAGTGGAGATCTCCTCGAGGTGAGGAGCGGGGACGTAGGTCGTGGTGACCGAATCTCGTAAACATATCTTTTGTTTGTGTTTTTCTTAGCATACTTTTTATTTGTACTTATTCATATCTTTCTTGCTCATATCTATCTTATATCATTCGTGCAAGAACAAATTAATCAACATTATTTTTAATTGGTATTTAATCGGATTAGATTAGCATATGACCCTAATCACCCCCCTCTAGGGTCTAACAGTAATCTTTTACACCAACAAAGACTACGAAACTCTTCCCTCTCGCACAATATTCTTGAATCAAGTTACATCCACTGCTAACCCAATATTACAAGAATATTGGCTCTCTCTTAGTTGCTTGGTTTTCCCTCCAACAATAGAAGAATATATATGTTGTACGCAGCAGAGCTTGAAAGCCAAATAGTGCACCATAAAACAATAAGAAAGATCACAATCAAACCCAAGCACAAATCATAAATCACAGCAAGACAACGAATTTACGTGGTTCGGCTAGTTGCCTACGTCCACGGGGCAAGGAGGGGGAGTTCTTACTATTAGAGATAAAGAGAAATACAAATAGGATTACAAAATCACTCAAAACCCTAAAACAAAGCTCTCTAAACCTCTCACAATTCTCCCACAAAAGGATGCACAATACTCTCTCAAGAGTCTGCTCAAATCATCCTTACTTAACCCTAATTAATCATGTTTAGGGTTATATATTAACATAAAACAAAATAGGTCAGAAAACAAAAGCCCAGGCCCAGACTCGAGTCGAAGTTGAACGTACTTGACTCCGCGGTCAACCGGACAGAGTGACAAAAATTAGGAAAACCGATTATAGGGTTCGCGGTCGACCACGTTTGACGCCACGGTCAATCGCGTTTGACGCCACGGTCAACCGGACAGAAATCCAAAAATGCACCCTGTAGTGTGCATGTTTGCCGGTCAACCGTAACTGATCTCGCGGTCGATCGTCAAGCTGCCTGATGTTTTCGTCGAAAGTCACCTTAATCATTGATTTCATTAAACTTTAAGCGTTACAAATGAATTCAACTA